GATAATATGACTATATACATAGAAAATCCAAAAGAATCCAAGGAAAACATTTTTAAAAACCTCCTAAGAGATAAATGAATTGAACTAAGTAGCAGGATACAAAGTCAACATAGAAAAATCTCTAGCATTTTTGTACACCAACAATAAACAGAATGAGAGACAATTTACAATCCCATTTACAACAGCCACAAAATGAATAAGATACTTAGGAATAAACCTAACCAAGAGGTGAAAGATCTCTACAAGGAAAACTATGAAAATCTGAAAAAAGAAATGGAGAATGATACAAAAAAAAATGGAAAAACATCCCATGTTCTTAGATTGGAAGAATCAATAACATCAAAATGTCAGTTCTTCCCAAATTAATGTACATACTAGTGCAATTCTGATTCATGCTGGTGAAATTCATCACAGAAATAGATAAAACAATAATAAAATTTGTCTGGAATCATGAAACACTCCATATTGCCATGGCAATACTGTGCAAAGTGAATAAAGTAGGAGGCATCTCACTATCCCACCAAATTATATTACAAAGCAGTGATAATCAAAACATCATGGTACTTGCACAATAACAGACATATAGACCAAAGCTGCAAAACAGAGAGTCTAGAAATGAAGACCAAATCATACAGTCAACTGATCTTGGACAAAAGGTGCAAGATAATGCAGTGGATGGGGAAAAAAAGTCTTTTCGGCAAACGGTACTGGAAAAACTGCATCTCCACCTGCAGAAAAATGAAACTGGACCTTATTCCTCATCAGTAAGAAAAATAACTAGGGGCCAGCAAGTGGCATAGTGGTTAAGGTGCTAGATTCCCACATGGCTGGTTACAGTTCGAGTCCCAGATCTGGAAGCATGAAACTCACACAGGGCATGTGTGTGTGCATGACTAAAATCCTAAGATGAGAACAGAGGAGAATGGATTGAGGTGTGGACATCTCCCATGGGAGGGTGATTTCTCAGTTTCTCTCTCTCTGTCTCTCTAGCAATAGTACATGTACCCAATAGTAAAAATCTCTCTAAAAAGGAAAAAGAAGAATCAACTCAAAATGAACCAAAGATTTAAACGTAAAGTCTCAGACTATAAAACTAGTAGTAGAAAACTTGGGAGTTACTCTTGAAAATGTTGGAGTAGGAAAATACTTCTTAAATAAGACCCCTAAAGCATAAGTAATAATCTCCAAAATAGACAAATGAAATCACATCAAGATAAAAGCTCTCTAACAGCAAAGGAAACAACCATTAGAACGGAAAGACAACCCTCAGAATGGGAGAAAATATTTGTGGATGATTCCTCAGACAAAGGATCAATAACCAGAATATAGGGATCAGCAGTCAGCGTAATGGCTATGTCGCTGGACTCCCATGTAGTCGACTACGGTTAGAGTCCCGGACCCGATGGCTTAAACTCACACTGAGCATGTGTGTGTGCGTGTGTGCATGCGTGCCCAAGATCCTGAGAGGAGAATGGCAGAGAAGGAATTGTGATGTGACCATACCCTTGGGGGGGGGGGCCGGTTATTTCTCACTTTCTGTCTCTATATTTCTCTCTGTCTTTCTGACAAGCGCATGTGCCCTATAGCAAAAACCTCTCCAAAAAATAAATGAATAAATAATCAGAATATATAGGGAACTCAAACAGCTCACCCATAAACAAATGAATAATCCAATTTAAAAATGGACAAATAAGCTGAATAGACAACTCTCCAAGGAAGACTTACAAATGACCAGAAAGCATATGGAAAAAATGTTCAAAGTCTCTTGTCATAAGGGAAATGCAAATTTTTTGAGAGGTTTCGCTATAGGGCGCGTGTGCTCACCAGACAGACAGAGAGAGACAGAGAGACAGAAAAAGAGAAATCACCCCCCGGGGGGATGGTTATGCCGCAATCCCTTCTCCTCCATTCTCCTCTCAGGATCTTGGGCATGTACGCACACGCGCCCGGTGTGAGTTTTAAGCCACCGGGTCCAGGACGCGAACCGCGGTCGACTACGTGGGAGTCCAGCGACATAGCCATTACGCTAACTGCTGGTCCCGGGAAATGCAAATTAAAATCACAATGAGATACCATTTAACTCCAGTTAGAATTGCTAGGATCAAAAAAGATAAAGACAACAATGCTGGCAAGGTTGTGGTGAAAGGGAATCCTTTTACGCTGTTGGTGGGAATGTAAATTAGTACAACTTCTGTGGAAAACAATATAGAGTTTCCTCGGAAATCTACAAACAGAACTACCACATGACCCAGTAATCCCCCCATTGGTATTTACCCAAAGGACAGGAAAACAGTCAGACACTTACACATCCATATTTATTGCATCATTACTCACAATTGCTAAGACATAGAATCAACCTAAGTGTCCAAAAACTGATGACTGGGTTGAAAACCAGTGGCACATTTATACTATAGAATATCACTCAGTCATAAGAAACAGTAAGACCTTATCTTTTAATTCCAAGTGGATGAATATAGAAGACGTAATGTTGAGCAAAATGAACTGGAATTTGAAAGCTACACACTGTATATCCCCACTCGTTGTGTCCCAAATGTGTACATTCTGTGGCAGAAATGGAAAGATCCAAAGATGTGACAGCAGAGAGGACAAGTGTAGATACCAGAGACTGTAAGGAAGGGCAGTGGATGGTAGAGTGGGCTGGGGGTGGTGCAAAAGCTAGAAACGTTTAACAAACCGAAAAAAAAAAAAGGAAAGTTCTCATGGTTAGCAAGTGGTGTGGTGGTTAAGGTGCTGGATTCTCACATGGCTGACTATCGTTTGAGTACTGGACTCAGTAATGTGAAAATCATGCCAGGTGTGTGTGTGTGTGTGTGTGTGTGTGTGTGTGTGTCCATGCCCAAATTCCTGAGAGGACAATGAAAGAGAAGGGATTGCAACATGACCATCCCTGCTGGGAGGGTGATTTCTCATTTTCCCTCTCTCTGTCTTTCTCTGGCAAGCTATGCCCTATGGAAAAATAAATTAAAAAAAAAGAAAAGTTCTCTGTTAAAAAATTATATATATTGTATACATCATGATGGGGACAAATGTAAAATTCATCTGAAAATATTAAAAGGTGGAAAAATATAAAAGTTTATATTAAAAAGAAAAAAAAGAAATGTTAAAGATACAATGCAAGTTCTCTGACAAAGCCTGGCCATCGTAAAGGAGTATTTGAAACCATTTTATAAGCCATAGCTTTAAGTCTTTCTATATACATAAAAATACAATATTATAAAATAAATTATCCATCTGGCATCCCAGGTGGTCTTTTAAAAACACACAGCATGAATTATATTGCTCATTCCAAAAATGTTCAAACGCTGGAGTGTCATTTTAGCTCCTCAGAGTAGATGCTAAAGTTCTGGGATAGAGAAACATACCACCAACATCTTGGAGCTGGCCTAGCTTTCACAGTTAAGCGTAAGTGTTCTACTGTTGAACATAAACCGTTTGACAGATTATCAATATCAGACAAGGCCATGCTATAGCCATGATCAAGCAAGACTACTCTATTTTATGTCCAAACTCAGTCAAAACATCAACATTATGGAGTAACAAATCAGCAAAGTGGCAGAGTAGAAAGCCCTGAACCCTCCTCACCAATTCATAGACGGACCAGTCCAGCAACGATCCACGTACAACCTCACTTTGTAATAAAGGCAGAAACTACGTGACAAGCTCCTGCAATGCAGGAGACCATGAAACCAGACTCGCCAAAGCGATAGGGGTACTTGGGACCTTCACTCATCAGAGTCCTGTTCTCTGGCTCAGTGTCACACAGAGACCCGCCAGCTCCTGATTTCTCCTAGAAGAGGGAAGATTTGACTCCTCCATCCAGTGCCCTGATTTTCCCAAGGGATTTCCCCAGTGGAATGACCTCTGTCCTGATAGTTCTGAAGTTTGAACGAGTCTACCACAGTTTAGCAGCCTACGGGAAAATGGAGACATCAGCTTACACTGCAGATATGATAGCCACCCTATTCCCACCCCCGGTAAAATAAGCAGATGGACCCCACAATTGTCTGCTTATCCCTGAGGCGGAAAATATGTGACAGAGACCTAGTCAGATTGGTGGATGTCATCTTATGCATGAGGTCAGTTAGGAAGACCAGGAAATATGTCTGCTTTTTCTAAAGATGTCAACGTAGACCATCAAGAAAAAGAATCAGACAAAATGTTTCAAACAAAGGAAAAAGATAAACCCTTGAAATGAACCCCAATGAAGCAGAGTTATACCACGTACCTGAAAGAGAATTAAACACAGCTGTCATAAACATGCTTACTGAGTTCAGGAGGGTAATGCACAATGTGAAAACTTCAACAAAGAATCAGAAAATATATGAGACAGAAACAAAAGAGCAGAAGACTTCCCAAATCTGGCAATAGACACGTGTATCCAGATCCAAGAAGCAAAACGGTCCTTAAAAATAAAAAGCAGATAAAGACTGTCAGACGAACAAAAACTGAAGGAGTTCATCATGACTAGGCTTTCCAGACAAGAAATGCTAAAGAGAATTCTTCAAGATGGAATAAGGAGGTGATAAACAACAATGTGATAACACAAGACAATATAAAACTTACTGACATAGGTAAGTACACAAACACAAAGTGCCACATTTCTATACGGTGGTGTTTTCATTGAAATATAAAAATTAGAGCCAGGCTCCATAGCACCGAGGTTAGGTTCTGCACATTGGGAACCAGATTCCACGTGGCTGACTGTGGGTCACACTCTCACTCCAGGAGCTAGGAAAACACACCGGGCATGTGTACATGTGTGCCCAAGATCTTGATGGGAAGGAGGGATAGAGGAAAAAGGCCATGACCATGACTGCTGGGTGGCGCTCTCTCTCTCTCTCTCTCTCTCTCTCTCTCTCTCTTATATGCACACACGCATGTGCACATGCCCTCCGGCAATTATATACATATAGGTAAGTTAAAAATAAAATATTAAAAATAATGATGACAAAAATATGTTTGAAAATGCACACTATGAGACATGGGTTTGGATTTATGGCTCACTTGTTCCCCCTGGGCCTCTCATAGCACCCCATGCCAGAGCAAACAGGCCCTGAGCAACTACCCAGTCTATACCTATGACGGCTGGCGCTGAAGGGTGTTGCACAGTTACTTGTTTTTGGAGAGGTTTTTGCTATAGGGCGCGTGTACTTGCCAGAGAGACAGAGAGAGACAGAGAGACAGAAAGTGAGAAATCATCCCCCGGGGGGGTGGCCACGCCGCAATCCCTTCTCCTCCATTCTTCTCTTGGGATCTTGGGCATGCATGCACATGTGCCCAGTGTGAGTTTAAGCCGCCGAGTCTGGGACTCAAACCGCGGTTGACTACATGGGAGTCCAGCAACGTAGCCATTACTCCAACTGCTGGTCCCATGCAGTCACTTTTAATATCAGTAGTTACTTTTATATTTCTCTCAATATTTTGACTATATCATTCCAGTCTTTTGTGAGCTATAAGGCTTCTGCTAAAAAAAAAAAAAATCTATAGATAGGTCCCCTTTGTATGTGAAAAATATTTTTAAAAGGAAATAAAATAAAATACACAGTCTGAACAGATGTGAATATGTCGTCTGTTAATATAAAGGGGGATTGACGTGTAGAGTTTTTCAATCAGGTTAAACTGGACTGCAATAAGAGATCTTTGGTAAGCCCTAAGGAAGCTACACACACACACAAAGTTATCTATAATACTTATACTTAAAGAGAAACAGAAAGGAATCAAAATGTATCAATATTAAAAGAATAAAGAGCCATCAAGTGGCATGATGATTAAAGCAACCAGACTCCACAGGGCCAACTGCATGGTTCAAATCCCAGACCTGGTGACTTGAAAAACTTGCCAGGCATATGTGCATACATGCCCCAAATCCCAAAAGCAGGGAGAAACAGAAGAGAGAGGAGTGTAGCCTGACCTTTCCCCACTAGAGCAGGAGGTGCTTTCTCACTTTCCTTCTCTCTCTCTGTCTCTCTCCAGCAAATGCATACCCCCTCTAGGAAATTAAAATATATGGGAACCAGCAGTTAGCGTAATGGCTATGTCGCTGGACTCCCACGTAGTCGACCGCGGTTCGTGTCCTCCCGGACCCGGTGGCTTAAAACTCATGCCGGGCGCGTGTGCGTGCGTGCCCAAGATCCCGAGAGGAGAATGGAGGAGAAGGGATTGCGGTGTGACCATCCCTCTTTTAAAAACACACAGCATGAATTATATTGCTCATTCCAAAAATGTTCAAACGCTGGAGTGTCATTTTAGCTCCTCAGAGTAGATGCTAAAGTTCTGGGATAGAGAAACATACCACCAACATCTTGGAGCTGGCCTAGCTTTCACAGTTAAGCGTAAGTGTTCTACTGTTGAACATAAACCGTTTGACAGATTATCAATATCAGACAAGGCCATGCTATAGCCATGATCAAGCAAGACTACTCTATTTTATGTCCAAACTCAGTCAAAACATCAACATTATGGAGTAACAAATCAGCAAAGTGGCAGAGTAGAAAGCCCTGAACCCTCCTCACCAATTCATAGACGGACCAGTCCAGCAACGATCCACGTACAACCTCACTTTGTAATAAAGGCAGAAACTACGTGACAAGCTCCTGCAATGCAGGAGACCATGAAACCAGACTCGCCAAAGCGATAGGGGTACTTGGGACCTTCACTCATCAGAGTCCTGTTCTCTGGCTCAGTGTCACACAGAGACCCGCCAGCTCCTGATTTCTCCTAGAAGAGGGAAGATTTGACTCCTCCATCCAGTGCCCTGATTTTCCCAAGGGATTTCCCCAGTGGAATGACCTCTGTCCTGATAGTTCTGAAGTTTGAACGAGTCTACCACAGTTTAGCAGCCTACGGGAAAATGGAGACATCAGCTTACACTGCAGATATGATAGCCACCCTATTCCCACCCCCGGTAAAATAAGCAGATGGACCCCACAATTGTCTGCTTATCCCTGAGGCGGAAAATATGTGACAGAGACCTAGTCAGATTGGTGGATGTCATCTTATGCATGAGGTCAGTTAGGAAGACCAGGAAATATGTCTGCTTTTTCTAAAGATGTCAACGTAGACCATCAAGAAAAAGAATCAGACAAAATGTTTCAAACAAAGGAAAAAGATAAACCCTTGAAATGAACCCCAATGAAGCAGAGTTATACCACGTACCTGAAAGAGAATTAAACACAGCTGTCATAAACATGCTTACTGAGTTCAGGAGGGTAATGCACAATGTGAAAACTTCAACAAAGAATCAGAAAATATATGAGACAGAAACAAAAGAGCAGAAGACTTCCCAAATCTGGCAATAGACACGTGTATCCAGATCCAAGAAGCAAAACGGTCCTTAAAAATAAAAAGCAGATAAAGACTGTCAGACGAACAAAAACTGAAGGAGTTCATCATGACTAGGCTTTCCAGACAAGAAATGCTAAAGAGAATTCTTCAAGATGGAATAAGGAGGTGATAAACAACAATGTGATAACACAAGACAATATAAAACTTACTGACATAGGTAAGTACACAAACACAAAGTGCCACATTTCTATACGGTGGTGTTTTCATTGAAATATAAAAATTAGAGCCAGGCTCCATAGCACCGAGGTTAGGTTCTGCACATTGGGAACCAGATTCCACGTGGCTGACTGTGGGTCACACTCTCACTCCAGGAGCTAGGAAAACACACCGGGCATGTGTACATGTGTGCCCAAGATCTTGATGGGAAGGAGGGATAGAGGAAAAAGGCCATGACCATGACTGCTGGGTGGCGCTCTCTCTCTCTCTCTCTCTCTCTCTCTCTCTCTTATATGCACACACGCATGTGCACATGCCCTCCGGCAATTATATACATATAGGTAAGTTAAAAATAAAATATTAAAAATAATGATGACAAAAATATGTTTGAAAATGCACACTATGAGACATGGGTTTGGATTTATGGCTCACTTGTTCCCCCTGGGCCTCTCATAGCACCCCATGCCAGAGCAAACAGGCCCTGAGCAACTACCCAGTCTATACCTATGACGGCTGGCGCTGAAGGGGGTTGCACAGTTACTTGTTTTTGGGGGAGAGGTTTTTGCTATAGGGCGCGTGTACTTGCCAGAGAGACAGAGAGAGACAGAGAGACAGAAAGTGAGAAATCATCCCCCGGGGGGGTGGCCACGCCGCAATCCCTTCTCCTCCATTCTTCTCTTGGGATCTTGGGCATGCATGCACATGTGCCCAGTGTGAGTTTAAGCCGCCGAGTCTGGGACTCAAACCGCGGTTGACTACATGGGAGTGCAGCCACGTAGCCAATACTCAGAGCCATTACTCCAACTGCTGGTCCCATGCAGTCACTTTTAATATCAGTAGTTACTTTTATATTTCTCTCAATATTTTGACTATATCATTCCAGTCTTTTGTGAGCTATAAGGCTTCTGCTAAAAAAAAAAAAAATCTATAGATAGGTCCCCTTTGTATGTGAAAAATATTTTTAAAAGGAAATAAAATAAAATACACAGTCTGAACAGATGTGAATATGTCGTCTGTTAATATAAAGGGGGATTGACGTGTAGAGTTTTTCAATCAGGTTAAACTGGACTGCAATAAGAGATCTTTGGTAAGCCCTAAGGAAGCTACACACACACACAAAGTTATCTATAATACTTATACTTAAAGAGAAACAGAAAGGAATCAAAATGTATCAATATTAAAAGAATAAAGAGCCATCAAGTGGCATGATGATTAAAGCAACCAGACTCCACAGGGCCAACTGCATGGTTCAAATCCCAGACCTGGTGACTTGAAAAACTTGCCAGGCATATGTGCATACATGCCCCAAATCCCAAAAGCAGGGAGAAACAGAAGAGAGAGGAGTGTAGCCTGACCTTTCCCCACTAGAGCAGGAGGTGCTTTCTCACTTTCCTTCTCTCTCTCTGTCTCTCTCCAGCAAATGCATACCCCCTCTAGGAAATTAAAATATATGGGAACCAGCAGTTAGCGTAATGGCTATGTCGCTGGACTCCCACGTAGTCGACCGCGGTTCGTGTCCTCCCGGACCCGGTGGCTTAAAACTCATGCCGGGCGCGTGTGCGTGCGTGCCCAAGATCCCGAGAGGAGAATGGAGGAGAAGGGATTGCGGTGTGACCATCCCCCCTGGGGTGATTTCTCGCTTTCTGTCTCTAATGTCTCTCTCTGTCTGTCTGGCAAGTGCACGCGCCCTATAGTGAAAATCTCTCAAAATAAATAAATAAATAAATAAAATAAAATAAATAAAAATAAGTTTTTTTAACTTCTGAAAAACGCAAAGGAAGACAAGAGAGGAATAGACAGACAAGAAACTACAAGACTAAAAGGAAACAACTAACAGAATGACAATAATACGTCTTTACTATCAATAATAAGTCATTTCTATTAGAAATTATTTTAAATGTAAATGATTAAGTTCCCCAATCCAAAGACATAGGATGGTTGACAAGATTGGGAAATAAAACAGGGGGCCAGTCGGTTGGCATGATGATTAAGGCACTAGACTCCCATATGGCCAACCATGGTTCAAGTCCTGAACCTGGCAGTTTGAAAATTACTCTGTGTGTGTGTGTGTGTGTGTGTGTGTGTGTGTGTGTGTGTGTGCCCTAAATCCAAGAGAAGAATGGAGGAGCAGGGATAGTGGAGTGGCCATCCTTCTTGGAGGTAGATTTCTCACTTTCACTCTGTCTCTCCAGTGAAAGAGACAGGATCTCATGGCAAAAACCTAAAAAAAATAAAATAAGGTAAAATTGACCCAACTGTGTTCTGCATACATGAAACTTACTTTAAGGACACAAATAGGTTGAAAATGAAGAGACAGAAAAAGATAATTTTTGGAAGTGGCAACTAAAAAGGAAGAAGTGTGGGTATATTTCTATCAGACAAGACAAGTCAAACATTGTAACAAAGGTTATAATAAGGACATTACATAATGATAGAAGTGTCAACTCACCAGGAAGATACAATTGTAACCGGGCACCTGGCATGAGAGCACTTAAACTGTATGAAGTGAACATTGATAAACATTACATCCAGGAACAGCCAGCCATGCAATAACTGTAGGAGACGTCAACACTCTACTTACTATACTGGATAGAGCTTCCAGATATCAATA